TTTTTGTTTTTTTTTTTTTTTTTTTTTTTTTTTTTTTTTTTTTTTTTGGCAGGCAAGCTGATTGCTGAAGGTTAAGACCTAGGATCTAGTAGAACAGGATTTAGATCTGCCCCTCTGCTGCTGGACGCAGAGGCTCCGCTGGAAACTGCCGCCGTCTCCTTGGGTGTATTCCTTCCTTGCCTCTCCCTCATGTCTCCGCTCTTCTCTCCATTGTCCAAGAGGACGAGAAAAGCCCTCGTCGTTTGAAAGCAGCAAATTGTCTTTTCCTCCTAGCACCTGGGGATGCCAGAGAGTTCAGACTTGCTCACTGGCTTTGAGGCTTCCTGTGGGTATAAGATGTCGTTTCCTGAGTGCTGTGCACGAATCTCTCCATCCTGGCAGCCATACTAATGAACTGCGAGTCGTTTCTCTTCCTCACAGCTCCTGCGGAATCCTGGATTTGACATTAGTTGGAGGGAACACGATAGAACAGCCAGATGGTGGGGTGTTTTGAACTCTTGGCGTATGTAACAAATACAGCACCTGGACTAATGCCACTGGTTAGGAAGACCCAAGAACCGCTTAAGCCCGCAGAGAAGCTGGAATTTTATGGGATGGGAATTTTAGACATTTGCACATTAGAGGTGTCTATGGGTTTGGAGACACCAAATTTTATAGATGAGGAGAAATGTCTAAAATTAGTTCAGACCTATTAAATTTCTGCTTATTTGTCCTTATATATTTAAAAGTTTGTTTTCTTAACTCTTGATAAATATGAAGCAATAATAATAGGTTAAATTGAATAATGGGTTAAAACAAATGATAGGTTAAATTCACAGTTTACTTATATGTGTGACAAAGGACAGATTTGGACAGTCACCATTACACTTTCTATTGTGTGTGTGTGTGTGTGTGTGTGTGTGTGTGTGTGTAGGTGTGAATACATGTGGGGCCAGAGGTTGAAATCAGGTGTCTTTCCTCAATTACTTTTCGCCTTAATATTTGAGACAGGGTCTCTTACTGAATCCGGAGCTTGCCAGTTCGACTAGGCCAGCTCTGAGCTGCTCCAGGAATTTGCCATTTTCTCCTAAGCTCCAGCGCTAGATTTACAGATGTGCGCCACCACAGCCAGCGCTAACACAGCTGCTGGGGAGCTTCATCCAGATCCTCACGCTTGCACTGAGATCTCCTTACCCATGGAGCCACCTCCCTCGTCCCTGTCTTCTTTTAAAAAGTTTTTTATTTTTTCTAATGAGTATATAGACATTATATCCTTCCTTTAGTTTTAATTTGGAATCTGGAAAGAAAAGAAAAAAACCCAAACAAGTTGGAAGTGCCTTCAAAGAAGTAATACTAGCTCTCTAGGTAGCTGTCCAGGGTTGGATGTGACTCTGGAAACCATCTGGTCTACCCGATTTCTCTGCTAGATTTCTGCCCTGGTCTTAGCCACATGAAAAGCTGGAGATATCTGGTTGCCCATAGGAAGCTGTTCCCATATTTCACCAACCTTTCAGCCCCACTGGAAGTGAAAGCCAAAGAGACGGTAACTATTGCTCCTTCCTTGCCTACGAGGCCGCTTGATCACGGAAGGAAATTAATTGGCCTGGCATGATTCGTTTTTTTTCGAAAAGTCGCATTGGTTCCCACCCAATACTTTGTGCCTTTGAAGCCGATGCTAATTGATTGATGTTAAGTTCTATATTTTCCCTGGTACTGAAGTGAGG